TATATAAATGTTTAAGGCTTCACGAGTGTGCGGGCATGCCGTCTCCTCTTATTTATTACTCTATGGTGGCATATAGTTATTATATTCAAATCAATAAATATTTTGAGATATTAATTCTTCTTCATCCGGTCGTATGATTACATCTTACGGCTTCAGTTCTAACAAAGAAGTCTAGATATTATAGATCACATGACATGGAAGAATAACTATACGCTACATGTGGAAAAAGCGCGCACTTGTCTTTTGGAGATGGTACTGTAAATTTCTGCCCAGGAGTTCTGCTCTTTGTAAATTTTGCAAGTAACTTTTCTTTTACTCTTTTCCTCAATAAATGCTCCATAAAAAGCATTATGGATATAAAATTAATTATTCTTTATTCATAAATATCGCAATAAACTATAGCAAAAGATGTGTCCTGATGAAGACTTTTGCTTTTTCCCATTAATAGTTTTCTATTTACTGGAAAAAGCAATATATATATATAAATATTTAATAGTTTTCTATATATATAAAATACATCGAACATCTATTTAAATAAAATAAAAGAATAATGCATTAATTAAATATATATTAACACCATGTAACCATTACAGCGTTAAAAACGGAGTATATACGGTTTGAAAGCGTATAAAAAGCGTTACGAACAGTTCGTCCGATTATAGTTAGGAAAGAAAAAATAGCCATTGCTGAAAAATGTTAGTTTTTACTTTGGAAGAGGGGATACTTTAATTCCATTTTCTAAAAGAGGGTCTTACCTTCGGCAGATTTCCGTTGCTCGTTTCCAAGATCTTCTAATATTAAAAAACCTATAACATTTATCGCTATTTTGTGACCACCCTGAAAAAAAGAGAATAAAATGTTATATTACTATGAAATTGCAATGAAAATAAAATTAAATGATATAAATCATAGTTACATAATACATACAAATTGAATATACAAATAATACATATACATAATTTAATGGTTTCAACGGCATTGAAAATTTTGACAAGGATTTTGCATTACTTGAAGAATAGTAATTAATGTTAAAAATTAAAAAGCTTAAACCTTAATATACTTAATTATCGTTATTTGTCGACTATACTGAAAAGTGAATGTAGTATTATATTAAAATTATATGTCATATTAAAGTTATGTGTTATATAAAGTGCTAAATATATATATTACTATTTATACAATAGTAACAAATGTGTAATGTTAATTAATGTAAATAGTATTAATTTTTAAAATTTAAAAACACTTCGCCATTTGTTGGCTATTCTTAAAAGTGATTACAGTGATATATTAAAGTTATATGTTATATAAAGTGTTACATATATTACTATCTATAGAATAGTGATTAATGTTAAAAACACTTAAAATACTTAATTGTCGTATAAAGTGTTACTTATTACTATCTATATAATTGAAATTAATATTAAAAGTAAAAATACATAATTATCGCTATTTGTTGACCATTCTGTAAAGTAAATAAAGTGTTATATATATATATATTACTATTTATGCAATAGTAATTAATTTTTAATGTTAATTAATGCAAATAGTATTAAATGTCAAAATTTAAAAACACTTAAATCACTTAATTATCGCCATTTGTTGGCTATTCTTAAAAGTGAATAAAGTGATATATTAAAGTTATATGATATATAAAGTGTTACATATATTACTATCTATAGAATAGTGATTAATGTTAAAAGTTAGAAACACTTAAAATACTTAATTGTCGTATAAAGTGTTACTTATTACTATCTATATAATTGAAATTAATATTAAAAGTAAAAATACGTAATTATCGCTATTTGTTGACAATTCTGTAAAGTAAATAAAGTGTTATATAAAACTATTTGTTATATTTTGTTATACTTTTATGAAAGTAAAATAAAATGTTTCATGAAAGTTAAAATAAAACTCTAATTTTACGAAGTTATTAAGAAAATCAATTAAAATTTTTACATAATTTAATAATTTCGTGAATGTAATTAACCTTTGAAAATGTAATTAACCTTTCACATCCTCTAAAGAACTTATAAAGAAAATAAATAAATCTAATTTTAAAAAGAAAATTACTTAACACTTTTATGAAGATACCAAAATTGAATTCAGTAGAGTAATTATGAGCGTGGCACTTCAAAATAATAAAAAATAAGAAATAAAAATTAAGAAAAACATTATTTTAACAAGAAAATTACTTGACACATTAATGAAGATACCAATATTGACTTCGGTTGAGTAATTGTGCGCATATGTTTCAACTGTAAATAGTTGATGTAAAAACATTATTTTAATACAATACTATTCCAGAGTTTTAGAATAATTTTTTAACAAGTTCTTAATGCAAAAGTTACTTATTTCCGGTTCTTTATTTGAAATGGTTGGTTGCTAAAAAGTTCAACGAATTTCATTGACCAAATGTTCTTAACTTCGAAACAATGGATTATCAAATTTGAAAGTTTGAAGAACGAATCCATTCTCCACTTACGGAATTAAATTAAGCATGTCGATGTGATTCAAGAGCTTTCGCTCAATTATTGATTTCTGTAAATGCCAGTATGAAAACTGAAAATACTAATCTAAATCAATACATGGCCATTGAATGTTGTTTCGTTATGCGCTTCAGAAAATCACAAAATCAGTTTAAGGTTACTGTTTTTTATATTTTCAGAAAAATCGGTTCAACATTAAGTGAGGTTCGTATGTCACTAAATTGAAGCATTAATATGGTGAAATTTTTTTTCAACATTAAATATGTCTTAAATTGAACCAAGTTCAGTTCAATTGGAACCGCAGTAACACGCAATCAAATTGAGAAATATTATTTTGTGGAATAGTATGGTTCAATTTGGTACCGTATTAAGGTTAAGGAAATTTGAAAGACATAATGGTTCAAATTTTCTAACACTGCGTGATGTTAAAGTACAGAAAAATTTTGTCTGTGTATTTTCTGCATAGAAGGCTTAATATTAAATTTTGAACAAATTACAAAAAAAATTGTGCTAGAGCAAAGTTTCTCAAACGTTTAGTAAGCTATGGGTTGGAACTTCGAGTCGCATAGTCAGATTTTGAAACAAACATTGTTAGTCATTTTTTGCACTGCATTGAAAAATTAGGGGAAAAACATAAAATTTTCTGCGCTCAGTTTTATTTTTAATGGATAAAAACAGTAATCACTAAAATAATAATAGCTTTCAAGTTATGGAATTTCTTTGTTTTTTTCCACAATATTTAAAATGTTTCTACAATTTTACATTGCTTATACGTTTTTTTTTTTTTCATTATCGTCTCAAAGAGAACACTATTTTTTGTGTATCAACGTCCAATATCTTATATATAAACGTCCAATATAACTCGGGCCGTCTTAGGACCAATGTTAGGGATTCTTGGCCGAATAAAGGCTGTTTAAACTAAAATTTTGCTCTTAACAGCCTAATGCAAAACTTTCCGATTCACCTCATATTTTATAGCCATTACTCAGTTGATGTAAATTTGTTCCATATTATTTATATTTCTCAGCAACTATTCAATCGATATAAACGCTATATAAATGTCTAGGTTCATTAAGGTAAAATCTAGACAGCTCAATCATCATCCTGTGATACATGCCTTATATCCTTGTAGAACCTTTCTGGGCAAATTTGAGCCCAGGCAGGGTTAATATATTGCTCAACCAAGTCAATTCAAATGGATAGAAACCGATGAATTGGAATAATAGGAAGATTGATTATAGACCATCCACTAGAGCTAGATGGTTCTTGTGTGGCTAAGAGTGGGTTTTTGTTACTCATTTCTAAATGGCACAATTAAGAGTTTTTGTTTTTAAAATTAAACACATAGTTTTCGTGGTATGAGCTATAAATAAGAGTGAAAATATCGTGTCAAATCTTTAATCACTTTCTTATCAATACTACCGGAAACAAGTGTGTCCCACTACTTTTCTTTGTAGTTTTTCGTTCAGCTTTCTGAATCCGTGAGGAACTGTCGTCCAAACAATTTTGTCCATTTTCTATCACGTTGTAACTTATGTACTTTACCAGATATTCAACTACAGTTCATCCGAATGGATCATAGAATGGGTGAATGACATGCATATACACCCTCTTGGCGTTGTTTTTGAAGAATCTTCCTATCGCTCGGTGATTATGCCGCCGATATTAGATGAGGTCTTTGCAAATCCCTTTTCTCTTTCAACAGAGCATGACATAAGTTTCTTTCTCGAGGCCACTGACGCATACTTAAATTTTTGGCGACATTTCACTTGCGGTTCACAGAGGCATTAAATTAAAAATCTCTTTTAATCGTGTCTTATCCCTTATAACGGATCCTTTCTTAAATAGATTCTTAATAGAATAGGAACAGTTTAGTGCAGTGAAATGTAATTTAGTTTTTGCAATTCAGGTGCATATTTTATCGAATATAAATTCCAATTAATATTGCCAATGAACCCTTAATTTGCTAATAAATATTAAATTTTTCTTCTCATTTCTAATATTTTACAGTGCTTTTGTGTAATCCTATCAGTATGATAGAGTATAAACAAAACTTGACACGAGTTTCCTACATAAAGTTTCCAACTTGCACTTAAACTTATAATAACGTTTCACTCACAGTTCACAGATTCATTGAACTATAAACTTCTTTGATTTACATTTTATCCCCTAAAACAGCGGTCATATAATTTCATTACGATATCCAAATTTTATTTGAAGTGGTCTAAATATATGAAAACAGATAGCGTTTAGTTGATTCCTCTGAAATTTTTAATTTTATTAACATGGAATTACGATAAAAAATTGATGCTACTTAATTTTATTTATTTCTTAACTATATTTAATAATCTGATCATTTGATTTCAATTTTAGTTCGTAAAATATTATATGCTCCATGCTGTTTCTGCTCATGAGACTTTTCGGGTTATGAAGAAAGTATTAGAAATGTTATACCGAAAAATATGAAAGTACCTAGCATTATATTCAGCTAAAAATTAATATATCTCCGTAGGCTGTTTCCTCATGAGTCTCTCAGAAAAAAAAAATCCCGTAAAATCTGAACTTTATGAAGTTTAATAATTACAGCTGAATCCTCGACATCACAGATTCGTGTCCATAGGATGATGATTCTTTTCAGTATTTTGAGAAAGATTATAAAGTTGTTAAGCGCAGCTTAAATAAGTTTTTTATTTCCAATGAACTGCACAATCAGTCATCCCAATGAGCAGACCTAGTGCGTTCTCCAGAGGTGGTATCCACTCTTTCAGGACCACCACAATGGGTGAGATACCGTTGGTCAAGTTATTTTGGACGTCTAGTTTCTGCCACACTAGATGGCAGCACCGAGACTCCATTTGGATGCTAAAGTGCACCTACAAATTTAATTTTGCCGGAAATGCCAAGAGCCAATAAGGCACTCCAGGGATCTTTTACATGCCGCATAATCATACGACATGGCCGCTGAAGATTTCCTGCATCCCGAAAATCCGGTGTCTGGGCCGGGGATCGAACCCGCAGACTTGGGCTCAGAAGGCCGACGACAAACCAACTGCGCCACCCAGCTACTTATTTAAGCTGTCAGCTTAAATAAGTTATTTGGACTATATTACAGTATAATTAAATTTGTGAAATAAAAAAGGCTCCATAGGACATAGGCTGTTGAAAGGAGCTGCTAGATTGGTCTTATAAGAAAGTAAACCCCATAAAATCTGAGCGTTATGACGGTTATTAATTTCAGCTGGGTCCTCGACATCACAGATTTGTGTCCAAGGGATGATGTTCCTTTTCGACATATTAAGAGATATTAGAAAGTAGTTAAGTGCAGCTTAAAAAAACGTTATCTCGATTTTG